CTGGGCCGATTGAACTGAAACTTTGTAGGAATGATCGAATCATGGTCCTGACAAAGTGTTGTTATTTTTCGGGTCAATCAGAGATACAATTTGGCTGCTTGTCTGCTATTTTGTAAATACCTATTTCAAACTTAAAAACAAGTTCTAATAGGCCGATCTCACTGAAAATCGGTCTAGGAATGATCAGCTCATGGTCCTGACAAAGTTAAGTTAACATTATACTTAACTATTTTTTACTCAAATTGGTACATATTTCAACAACAAAAATAAATACTGTAGGACTCAGGTGACCGTTAAGGCCCATGGGCCTCTTGTTCTTTTGATCGATTTCTTCTGAAGAACTGGGGGACCTAGGGTCATGGTATTTGGCCAGTAGGTATTTGGGATGGAGTGCTTTAAACTTTCCTCATTAAAATGACCTTGACCTAGTTTCAAGGTCACAGGGGTCACATATGGTAAAACAATAGCCTAAGAACCATTTGGACTAGAGTCATGATGCTTGGGTATGTTATGTTGACCAGCAGTGCAAATCTTTTTCTTTATTACAGTAATGAGGTATAAGGTCAACTTTAAGTGCTAGCCGAAGTCAAAGGTCAATGTGGGTTCAAATTTCAAATTTCAAAAAAAAAATAATTAAGAACTGTTTAAGAGATGTTAAAATGTCTTGTGTTCTAGTTACCAAATTTGTTCTGAAGTTACCTTTATGTCACTTTCATGTAACAAAAGAAACAGGTGAGCAATACTGGCCCTTTGGGCCTCTTGTTTGTAATGAGACGCATATCAAAGGTCAAAACATGAACACTGTTCAATTAGTGCATTGGAGACCTTACTGGACCTTCTCAACAGTAATGTTCACAGCTGTATCTTCTGTAAACATTTAGTGTATTGGAGTCCTTACTGGACCTTCTCAACAGTAATGTTCACAGCTGTATCTCCGGTAAACAGTTAGTGTATTGGAGACCTTACTGGACCTTCTCAACAGTAATGTTCACAGCTGTATCTTCTGTAAACATTTAGTGTATTGGATTCCTTACTGGACCTTCTCAACAGTAATGTTCACAGCTGTATCTCCTGTAAACATTTAGTGTATTGGAGACCTTACTAGACCTTCTCAACAGTAATGTTCACAGCTGTATCTCCCGTAAATAGTTAGTGTATTGGAGACCTTACCGGACCTTCTCAACTTTTCATTTAGTGTAGAGACCTTACTAGACCTTCTCAACAGTAATGTTCACAGCTGTATCTCCTGTAAACATTTAGTGTATTGGAGACCTTACTGGACCTTCTCAACAGTAATGTTCACAGCTGTATCTCCTGTAAACATTTAGTGTATTGGAGACCTTACTGGACCTTCTCAACAGTAATGTTCACAGCTGTATCTCCTGTAAACATTTAGTGTATTGGAGACCTTACTGGACCTTCTCAACAGTAATGTTCACAGCTGTATCTCCTGTAAACATTTAGTGTATTGGAGACCTTACTGGACCTTCTCAACAGTAATGTTCACAGCTGTATCTCCTGTAAACATTTAGTGTATTGGAGTCCTTACTAGACCTTCTCAACAGTAATGTTCACAGCTGTATCTCCTGTAAACATTTAGTGTATTGGAGACCTTACTAGACCTTCTCAACAGTAATGTTCACAGCTGTATCTCCTGTAAACATTTAGTGTATTGGAGTCCTTACTAGACCTTCTCAACAGTAATGTTCACAGCTGTATCTCCTGTAAACATTTAGTGTATTGGAGTCCTTACTAGACCTTCTCAACAGTAATGTTCACAGCTGTATCTCCTGTAAACATTTAGTGTATTGGAGTCCTTACTAGACCTTCTCAACAGTAATGTTCACAGCTGTATCTCCTGTAAACATTTAGTGTATTGGAGTCCTTACTAGACCTTCTCAACAGTAATGTTCACAGCTGTATCTCCTGTAAACATTTAGTGTATTGGAGTCCTTACTAGACCTTCTCAACAGTAATGTTCACAGCTGTATCTCCTGTTAACATTTAGTGTATTGGAGACCTTACTGGACCTTCTCAACAGTAATGTTCACATATCGTCTGCCTCCTCACCAGGATCTGGATGTTTTACAGGAATGTTTGTCTGAATCATATTTACACTGTGTTTTAGATTTAGAACATTATAATTTGTGTTATCAAATTACCAAGATGTTGGTTAAGTAACTTTGGCCTAATAATTAGGTATGATTTACCTAATTACCAAACCATTTGCTCCTATTTTAGTGCCACCTAACTGAAGCCTTTGTTTGGCTTGGTCTTGTGGATTTGTCTGTGTGTTCACCTATGTAGTGTTGATAGACTTGTACCACATTGGAACATGTTATTTCACCAGATTGTAAACACGGTTGTGTATATGTAAACACAGGATAACATTAGGGCTCTGCTTGTAAACATACAAATATGTAGGAGTTTTTTTACCCAGTTTTAAACTTTGGACAAACAGTATATATAGTATCGTCTTTACCAGCCAAGACAGAATACACCTGATACAACTCATGTGGAGGAAGAATCTTTCATGAGATCCTTAGGCTCTGTACCTTGTCTTGTACAGCTGATGTAGTTAGGATGTGTTGATATATAGGACAGTGTGTCACTTTGACTTCCTACAATTTGTTGATGTGGGTTTCCTGTTATACACACTTTCAGCCCATACAGAGGTCGTGACTGACGACGAAGACGGACTCCAACACGTGGGCATGGCATCAGACGTACCCTCGGAGGTGAAGAAAAAGAAGGGCCTCAAACGCTTCTTTGGCAAGTAAGTGTGAAGTAGTTGATTTGAAGTGAAAGGTTTATGAGTGAGCTGCTGGGGTTGGTTAATGTGTCATTATTAGTCTTTTAAAGTACATATAACTACATGTATTGTGTGTTTGTGTAGTCCCTTGCTGGTGCAAGGGTGTTTGCATGATGACTTTCCTTGATCTTATGTTTGTTTTATCATTGTTGAACCATTGAAGACATTGAAGTGTAACGCTGTATACATATGATCAGCTATACAATAAGTTGTCATTAAAACTTTGATACAAAGAGCAAGGGCAATATATTGGTTTCTAATCTGTTACAAAGTAAAGGAAAAGTAAGTGACACGCTGGGCTGTGTAAAACCAAACTATCTAGTTTTCTTTGATAATTTTACAGACTAAAGCGAAGTGGTTCACAAGATTTCCATGAAAGAGAGAGAGTGGAACAGTTCAGAAGAGGCGGGGTACGGGCGACAGCTTCAGGGCGAATCGGATGGTCAAAGGAACTCAAATATAACGAGTGAGTAGTTGACATAATCCAAGGCTGTTTCACCGAAGACATCGTAGGTAGCTAGAGTACTTGTAGCTCCTTAATGTTTTTTGCTGAACAGTTCTGTCCATCCATAGTGCCTGTGTATTGTCAGATGACATTTCCCCCATAATGTATTGAGGTTTTTGAAATAGACAATTTATGGTTGATAAAATTATGTATAGGTGTTATTAATATCACTTGTTCCCCCCACAGTGACCTTCCGTTCTCACGATGGGATGGTGAACGAGTGACTGCGTGGATGAATGACATTGGTCTCAACATGTATCTGGTAGAATGTCGACGCTGGGTGAAGAACGGGGAGCAGCTCCAGAAAGCTTCTGCTCATGAACTGGAAAAGGTATATATTCCCCAATAGCTTCAGCTGTACAAATTAGTGGCCTAGCACACATTGGTACTTAAAATAAATAAAATATCAAATGTTGAAATGCATCCCAGAAGTAGAAAATGTCGTACTATGTAAATGTCCTGGTTTTTAAACAAGCATTTTGTGGACTGATCACTGTATCACCACCCAGAAAATATACCACTTAAATAATTATGAATTATTCACCAAAATGAGGGTTCAAAAACTCAGAACATTTGACTTTGTTTACAGGATATGGGAGTGAAAAACTGTTTACACAGAAAAAAGTTACAGCTAGCACTGCAAGCTATCGCAGCCAACTCGAAAGACCAGCTCAGCATCCTGGACCATAACTGGGTTACAGGTATGTCATCCTATAGGGGAGGGGTAGTCAGTTCTAGGGGCTAGCTCCGTATCCTGGACCATACTGAGTCACACGTAAGTCATCCTCTAGGGGAGGGGTGGTCAGTTCGGGGGGCAACTGTGTCATCCTATAGGGGAGGGGAGGTCAGTTCTATGGGCTAGCTCACTGCCTGGTCTATAACTGGGTCAGACCCAGGTCGTTCTATAGGGGAGGGTTGGTCAGTTCTAGGGGCAAACGCGTCATCCTATAGGGAAGGGGTGGTCAGTTCGATGGGCAAACGTGTCATCCTATAGGGGATGGGTGGTCAGTTCTAGGGGCAAGCGTGTCATCCTATAGGGGAGGGGTGGTTAGTTCTATGGGCTAGCTCACTGCCTGGTATATAACTGGGTCAGACGTAAGTCATTCTATAGGGAAGGGGTGGTCAGTTCGATGGGCAAACGTGTCATCCTATAGGGAAGGGGTGGTCAGTTCTAGGGGCTAGCTGAGTATCCTGGACCATACTGGGGCACACATAAGTCATCCTATAGCTGAGGGGTGGTCAGTTCTAGGGGCTGTGTCATCCTATAGGGAAGGGGTGGTCTGTTCTAGCGGCTAGCGCAGCATCCTGGACCATAACTGCGTCACACGTAAGTCATCCTATAGGGAATGGGTGGTAAATTCTAGGGGCAAACATGTCATCCTATAGGGAAGGGGTGGTCTGTTCTAGCGGCTAGCTCAGCATCCTGGACCATAACTGTGTCACACTTAAGTCATCCTATAGGGGACGGGTGGTCAGTTCTAGGGGCTGTGTCATCCTATAGGGAAGGGGTGGTCTGTTCTAGCGGCTAGCTCAGCATCCTGGACCATAACTGCGTCACACGTAAGTCATCCTATAGAGAAGGGGTGGTCTGTTCTAGCGGCTAGCTCAGCATCCTGGACCATACCTTGGTCACACGTAAGTCATCCTATAGAGAAGGGGTGGTCTGTTCTAGCGGCTAGCTCAGCATCCTGGACCATAACTGCGTCACACGTAAGTCATCCTATAGAGAAGGGGTGGTCTGTTCTAGCGGCTAGCGCAGCATCCTGGACCATAACTGTGTCACACTTAAGTCATCCTATAGGGGACGGGTGGTCAGTTCTAGGGGCTAACGTGTCATCCTATAGGGGAGGGGAGGTCAGTTCTATGGGCTAGCTCACTGCCTGGTCTCTAACTGGGTCAGACGTAAGTCATTCTATAGGGGAGGGGTGGTCAGGTATCCTGGACCATACTGGGTCCCACATAAGTCATCCTATAGCAGAGGGGTGGTCAGTTCTAGGGGCTAACGTGTCATCCTATAGGGGAGGGGTGGTCAGTTCTAGGGGCAACTGTGTCATCCTATAGGGGAGGGGTGGTCAGTTCTAGGGGCTAGCTCAGTATCCTGGACCATACTGAGTCACACGTAAGTCATCCTATAGGGGAGGGGTGGTCAGTTCTGGACCATACTGGGTCACATGTAAGTCATCCTATAGGGGAGGGGTGGTCAGTTCTAGGGGCTAGCTCAGTATCCTGGACCATACTGGGTCACACGTAAGTCATCCTATAGGGAAGGGGTGGTCTGTTCTAGCGGCTAGCTCAGCATCCTGGACCATAACTGGGTCACACGTAAGTCATCCTATAGGGGAGGGGTGGTCAGTTCAGGATCATAACTGAGTCACACGTAAGTCATCCAATAGGGGAGGGTTGGTCAGTTCTAGGGGCTAGCTCAGCATCCTGGACCATACTGGGGCACACGTAAGTCATCCAATAGGGGAGGGGTGGTCAGTTCTAGGGGCTAGCCCAGCATCCTGGACCATAACTGGGTCACACGTGTCATCCTATAGGGGCGGGGGGGTCAGTTCTAGGGGCTAGCTCAGCATCCTGGAACATAACTGGGTCACACATAAGTCATCCTATAGGGGAGGGGTGGTCAGTTATAGGGGCTAGCTCAGCATCCGGGACCATAACTGGGTCACACGGGTCATCCTATAGGGGAGGGGTGGTCAGTTCTAGTGGCTAGCTCAGCATCCTGGACCATAACTGGGTCACTCGTAAGTCATCCTATAGGGGAGGGGTGGTCAGTTCTAGGGGCTAGCTCAGCATCCTGGACCATAACTGTGTCACTCGTTAGTCATCCTATAGGTGAGGGGTGGTAAGTTCTAGGGGCTAACATGTCATCCTATAGGGGAGGGGTGGTCAGTTCTAGGGGCTAGCTCAGCATCCTGGACCATAACTGGGTCACACGTTAGTCATCCTATAGGGGAAGGGTGGGCCAGTTCTAGGGGCTAGCTCAGCATCCTGGACCATAACTGGGTCACACGTGTCATCCTATAGGGGAAGGGTGGGCCAGTTCTAGGGGCTAACGTGTCATCCTATAGGGGAGGGGTGGTCAGTTATAGGGGCTAGCTCAGCATCCTGGATCATAACTGGGGCTAACGTAAGTCATCCTATAGGGGAGGGGTGGTCAGTTCTGCACTAAAACTCAGGAATGGATGGAGGTGAACATATTAATAAATTAGATTAGATAAGTAACTTCACCGTCATGCGTTTTCACAACACATTTTGACACCTTCTACCTGATACATAAATATTCTATACAATCTTTCAATCAAATCAGCATTTCCCATTAATATCGAATATAAAATTCAGCAAAATGTTCTTTTCCCTGCTCATTTTTCATCCTGGTTAAGTAATACATTATGGTAGAGAGATGCTCATTTTGAGAATTAGTAAGCAGAGAAAAGGATCCTTTGTACATATCAACTTGTGTGTATCTGATCTGTATTTGAACTCTGTATATGACTTTTGTGTTGTTAGGTTGGCTGGACGACATTGGTCTCCCTCAATACAAGGATGTGTTCTATGATGCCAGGGTGGACGGACGCATGCTGCATTTCCTCACAGTTGTAAGTTTTAGCGGTTTCTTTACTGTATAGTTTTCTGTAAATCAGAACCATGATGTGTAGTAAGTAAACCTAAATGTTCTGTGTTTTCAAATTATCACCTAGTGGAAAGAAATGTGAAAACAAATACAATTGTTTGAAATAGTTTGTGATTTTCCACGATTATGTTCCAGGATGACCTACTGGCTCTGAAGGTGACCAGTGAACTCCACCATGTCAGCATCAAGAGGGGCATTCAGGTGCTTCGGTCCAATAACTACAACCCCCAGTGTCTGAGGCGACGACCCTCACCAGACGAGGTAGGTCTACAATAATCATATACATTTACATGAAAACCAAAGTGTCTAAGGCAGCCATCCTGATGATGCAGGCTTTTAACAATGTTACATTCATCCTTACAACTCCATGGTGTCTGAGACAGCCACCCTTGACCCACAAGGCAGTGTTATATCTGCAGCTGTATGGATCAAGACAGATTTTAACCAATTCAAATTTGACTGAAAAAGTCAATGTTAATAAGTCCGTGATTTGTAGTAGAGTGAACCTTTTTTTTATTTTTCATGACAGGGACAGTTACAGAACATCCCCGGTGGAGTGGTGTTGTGGACAAATCACCGAGTGATGGAATGGTTACGTACAATAGATCTGTCCGAGTATGCCCCTAATATGCGGGGGAGTGGGGTACATGGAGCCCTCATGGTAAGTAACTCCTAAAACTGGTGAAACCAGTCTCAATCAATTACCATATTTACATGTCATAGAGGATGGGTTCACCTGGACCAGTATTTACATGTCATAGAGGACGGGTTCACCTGGACCAGTATTTACATGTCATAGAGGACGGGTTCACCTGGACCAGTATTTACATGTCATAGAGGACGGGTTCACCTGGACCAGTGTTTACATGTCATAGAGGATGGGTTCACTGGATGTAAAATTGGAAACAGCGAGACTTTCAGCATGTTTGTTTGAAAATATCTAAAGCTTGGATCTTATTGTGAAGTCAATTTTTCCCTATCATGTCCTGCATACATTGTATGAACTGGTAAAATCTTGACTTAAACATGTAAAGACTTAGAAAAATGTTCAAAATACTCCGATGCATATAAATGATTTTGAAGGTTAGGAGTTTGAATGGGTGTTTGATACATTATCCTTAATTGTGATAAACTGTATTGTTATAATTGTGTCCTTACCCAGGTACTGGAGCCTCGGTTCAACGCAGAGTTGTTTTCTCAGTTATTGTCCATCCCTACCAATAAGACACTGCTGAGGCGCCACCTCAACACACACTTTGTAGCGCTCATTGGTAACGAGGTTCAGATAAAAAAGAGGGAGACAGAATCAATCCCAGGCTACTTACCACTGGTGCTTAATGCCAAGGTCAAGGTGAGATTCAAATTAATCCAAAACCGTATTTCTTATTTTTCAAAAATATGTGAAGTTTATTATGATCCATTTCCTTTTATGTTTCATCGGTAGAATTGCTATCTATTGTGTTTCCATGCTGATTAAAGACACAATAAAGTCGGCACAAACTTGCACATAACAATAAACTATTCTGACTAACATTAAAGATAACTGTAGTAAAACTCAGTTACAAGAACCTAAAGAAATTAAATCATTTTGATTTTACTCCCATTACCTTTTTAGGTCACCTGAGCTTTAGCTCAAGTGACCTATTGCTATCCGTTTTCGTCCGATGTCGTCCGTCGTCCGTTAACATTTTACATTTCAAACTTAAAGTCAAGTTCTGCTGGGCCGATTGAACTGAAAGTTGGTAGGAATGATCGCCTCATGGTCCTGACAAAGTGTTGTTATTTTTCGGGTCGATCAGAAATCCAATATGGCCGCCACAGCCACCATTTTGAAAACCTATTTCAAACTTAAAGTCAAGTTCTGCTGGACCGATTGAACTGAAAGTTGGTAGGAATGATCGCCTCATGGTCCTGACAAAGTGTTGTTATTTTTTGGGTCGATCAGAAATCCAATATGGCCACCACGGCCGCCATTTTGAAAACCTATTTCAAACTTAAAGTCAAGTTCTGCTGGACCGATTGAACTTAAAGTTTGTAGGAATGATCGACTCATGGTCCTGACAAAGTGTTGTTATTTTTCAGGTCAATCATAAATCCAATATGGCCGCCACGGCCACCATTTTGAAAACATATTTCAAACTTAAAGTCAAGTTCTGCTAGGCCGATTGAACTGAAACTTTGTAGGAATGATTGACTCATGGTCCTGACAAAGTGTTGTTATTTTTCAGGTCGATCAGAAATCCAATATGGCCACCACAGCTGCCATTTTGGTAAACTATTTCAAACTTAAAGTAAAGATCTACTTGGCCGATTGAACTGAAACTTTGTAGGAATGATCGAATCATGGTCCTGACAAAGTGTTGTTATTTTTCGGGTCAATCAGAAATACAATTTGGCTGCCATGGCCGCTATTTTGCTACTAAGTTCTAATAGGCCGATCTCACTTAAAATTGGTCTAGGAATGATCAGCTCATGGTCCTGACAAAGTTAAGTTAACATTATACTATTTTTTACTCAAATTGGTACATATTTCAACAACAAAAATAAATATTGTAGGACTCAGGTGACCGTTAAGGCCCATGGGCCTCTTGTTTGTTCACATCACCTTCTTCACGTTTCTCAAATACCCTTTTCATTCAAAAGGTTTTTCTTTATTCAATTAATGTAGTTATATAACAAGGATCAAAATGGTAGAAATAAATATTTTTCTGAATCAAGGGAGGCTACTCTGTAATGTAAACTGTTTCGGTTTTACAGAACAGGAAGTTTGGTTTGTTTGGTCACAAGAGGAGTAAATCAGATGCAGAGGTGGACAGCTTTATCTGTCCGATGGACAACGGCTTCTCAAACGGAATGACGAGGAGAGATAAGGAGGTATGTCCAACACAGCGCTGTACAGTAGCATGTTTACACAACCAAGCTCAAATTGTTTTCATTAAAATATTAGAGTTAAAAATATCAAAATGTTGTATTCAAAATTCACCATTAACATTGATTCTACCACGTCAGTGATGTAAGGACGGTTTGCATTAGTTAAAAAGAGTGCATTATTGAGCGATATACCATGCGCGTGCCAATAACCAATGCACGTGAAATAGTGTGCACGCATGCTGTTCAAACACCCTCCCCGTATTTTATCATGAATTAACAAAAATAGCATAACTGTCGGGCTGGATCAAAATATTTGACAGGCCTGCCATTCAAAAGATTACACGGATCTATAGACCTAAAGTATGTGGGTCCATGCAGTGAAAATGGTTTATTAATTATTGACATTTAAAATGTACAGGTCTGAAGACAAAATGGTAAATTATTAATTACTTCTGTTTTTACTTCACTGGGTAGTGCTGTACATTTCACGGTGTGTGTATGTACTGTCAAGCATTGATTTCGTGTTTTGACGAACGATGTCGGTAGCGGGCCAATGTTTGATTGATTGAAATAAACATCATATCTGACGTCACACATATTCAGTTGTTTCTGGTCTGCAAAACGTCGTCTGCTTTCAAAAAATAAAGTGATGTCGAGCGTTCGCCTACAGTGTACATACCGTGTGTGAAGAATAATGTTGCAAAAAGTAGCATCGGTCTGAACAGTGGTTGCAAAACACAGCTGTCCGGTGAAGTCGGTGAAGGTGAAGGTCGCATCATGATCAGCCGGTCAGCGACTTTCCATCACGTCATGGCTACCAACTAAATATGCCAACTCATGTCAGGCCTATCGTATGATGTTGTATCACTGGCACTTCCAAGAAAATCCGCTTGATATCGGTACGATGATGATGGTTTTAGAAGTAAACGCAATCCGGGAATCCCAACCCTACGCACTGAGAAATGTTGGCGTGACATTGATCAAGTTAAAACGAAGCAACACGATCACATGATAAATCTTGCACGCGCAAAAGAATAGCGTCTTATTTGCATATCGAAATATCTAGGTCATGTCGCCTTATAAGATAGCAAAACTTTACAATTAGTTACATTTGATGTGGTAGAATAAAAATAATCAACTTATGTGCGTGCATTATGGTGGAATATATAACTCGGAATTCGAAAATGTTGGTAAAAATAATTAACGAAGGCCGCTTCTTGATTATTTCTTAAATAATCAAATATTCATGAATTGGGTTGTTCAAAACCAACTACTTTTGAGATTTGAGAAGTATACAGTATTCCATATCTTTATTCATAAGGCAAACTGCTTAGAAAAACATGTTCATGCCTAAATCAGCTGAAGAAACTTAGGTAAACATGAAATGCAGAAATTCTTAAAAAAAATATTTGACTGAAGTTACAAAAGGATAAATCCTTGGTCTTTGTATTTTCTCTTGTGGTATATAAATTCACTAAAGGATAAAACCTTGGTCTTGGTATTTTCTCTTGTGGTATATACATTCACTAAAGGATAAAACCTTGGTCTTGGTATTTTCTTTTGTGGTATATACATTCACTAGAGGATAAATCCTTGGGCTTGGTATTTTCTCTTGAGGTATATACAATCACTAAAGGATAAAACCTTGGTCTTGGTATTTTCTCTTATGGTATATACATTCACTAAAGGATAAATCTTTGGTCTTGGTATTTTCTCTTTTGGTATATAAATTCACTAAAGGATAAATCCTTGGTCTTGGTATTTTCTCTTGTGGTATATACAATCACTAAAGGATAAATCATTGGTCTTGGTATTTTCTCTTGTGGTATATACATTCACTAAAGGATAAATCCTTGGTCTTGGTATTTTCTCTTATGGTATATACATTCACTAAAGGATAAATCCTTGGTCTTGGTATTTTCTCTTGTGGTATATAAATTCACTAAAGGATAAATCCTTGGTCTTGGTATTTTCTCTTGTGGTATATAAATTCACTAAAGGATAAATCCTTGGTCTTAGTATTTTCTCTTGTGGTATATAAATTCACTTTTTGTTTTCAGAAAGCAGAAAAGGCAGCAAAAGAAATTGGTGCTTTCTCAAAAGAGATTAATTCATTAACAGTAAGTATGAGTTGTGGAGAACTGGCTAGGAAATAAGGTATTCCACACGGTACCAAGAATCTGAAATCTTCGAGGCAAACATGTATCAATTTATCAGAGAAAAAAAAGTTTGTTATTAAGTCAGTTTTATCCTAGTTTCCTATGAATGTTTTGGCTAAAAAGTGACTAAATATTGTTAGCTTAAAAGTTTAGCTCCAATATTTCATTGATGGCTTTATTGGTCTTACAGAAATATTACTGCCATATTGGCATAACTAATACCCCCTCCCAATTTTTTAGGAGGAATTTAAATTAAAGACCCTCTCCCAGACCTGACCAGGTTCAGTCAATCATTTACATCATTTAACACTCTAAAGCAGAGATTTCTCTGGAGGCTAATTTTGGCAAATATTGTATGTTTTCAATGTCTTTAAAAAGTTCAGTTCTTTTTTAATATAGATGAGTTATACAGAGTTTGTTATCTATTTTGTCTACAGAACATGTTGCAGAGTGACCTTGATGATGTGCCAACCTCAAATGTGTGACACACCTACTTTAACTGTGAACACTATGTGACACGCCCAGTTAAAGACACGATGTGACACACCCACTTATGGTGAACACTAATATATGTGAATCGCCCAGTTACAGTGAAAATGAGGACATTTAATGTAGAAGCCATTTGCTTTTCAAACATTTGTGATCATCATTGATATGCCAAAGTTTCAGCTTACCAAAAGCTTGCAAGTTCTCAGGGGATGGGAACCCGACCCCCAACAGTGATAAAATATGCAGAGGGGAAGGGTCAATGTGAGCACGGTCACAGATTCTGTAGGACAGGAGACTACATGGTAACAGGACTCAACATCTGTACCCCAACTCAACACCATTGTTTGCCAAGGAATTACAAAAGGAATATAATTCTTACCAAGGAATTAAGCAATCACTTATTTTCATCACAGAACATGTTTTGTTTTGCAGATTTGTGGTCCGATGTGATAACTATTGGAAAATCTTCAGAAAATACAGACGACTACTGTTGGATTAATTTTGAAAACATAACAGGCATTTTTTGTGTGTTTTTTTCAAGACAGATAAATCATGCTACCATTATCACCTAAAGCAGATGCCTCCTCTATCTCTCTGGCGGGATGTCTCTTTTGTCGTCACAAATTCGGGAATAACATCTATCTTGATCATCAATTGTCCTAGAAATGCTCATCTCTACCACACAATCTTTGTGAAGTGTGTCCGCCATTCAGATGTTCTAAATTTGGTTGTTTAGTTTGAGAATTTGTACAGAAGAATTCTGTATATATGTGCACAGGTGTGTAGAAACGTGAAGACAAACTAATGTATAATGTAATACATGGAAATCAACAGCTTTCCACAGTAAAACTACAGCAGTTTTATTGTCCCCACACCATTTCATCAATTCTCTGACAATTGCCATATTGTTAGTGCTTTTTTATATAACGTTATATTTTATACATTTTACATTTCATGCATTTGATTGTCATTTTGTTCCTAATTGTTGATTTGTCTCCCTTGTTCCTACCTGTACAGGTACAGTCATTGTACCTATCATCAATAGGTGTACTCCTAGGATTGATTATTTCACATCGTAATATTATATCACAAGGCATTTATTGTCAGATCATTTATCTAACACTAACACAGCAACTTGTCATTAACAAAATTCATTCTATACATTTGCCTGTATGGTCTGTGTTGTTTAAGCTGGGTTAAGATAGCCGATAACACAGTAAGAACTTATATTTTTTCAAGTTAATTAGACTTGATAACTTACTAAAGCAAGGTCACTTGTATACAGATCCTAAAAGGACAAAAGTGTAAGATTCCTGCCAAAGGTAATGATATTGGTTGTATTTAAGAACATAAGCTGTACTAAGAAATTATTTCAGAGTTGTTTCTGGTTGTTTATATGCGAATGCGAGTTGATGGTTAAGATTTAAAAATACAAACATATTTTAAGGGTCATTTATTGAATTGATTTACCTGTATTATTGTACAAATGTCCATGTTTGAGGGTATATATCTATGTGGACAGTATAACACTTACAAAACTCCTTGTTATATGTGGTACACTGAGGATATGGTGGTTATCATTATTCCTCATCATTTGGTATCATTTGCATGCTTAGTTGATTCATGCTGGACACATTTCAGGCATATTTCATGATAGAGACACATGTTTTGATTAAGATCATTCTGATTTTAAATCTTTACTAGTTATGTGAGATCTATATTATTGAAATGATTTCCTTATCTGCTGGACAGATAGTATTGTGGAGAATTATTTTTTTATCATGATTGAAATTTTCATATGATATGGTAGAACAATTCTGATACTTTTACAAGTCTCCCCCGTATCTTTTCCTTCCTGTCTGTTTTTTCTTTTCTTTTTTAAATTTAATTGAGACAAAAACTAATTATAACTCAGTAATACCACTGGTTACTTATTTTTGACAGAACTCAAAGTTTCCACAAAACTCGTATTTGTTGTATCATTTTTATTCATTTCTGCATACAGGTAGCTTACAAACTTAACATGCTTACTACACCAAGGTTTATAATGGTAATAAACCTTGCATATATCTTGTATTCAATTTAAAAGATTGGATCATGTTATTTAAATTTTGATTTCACATGGTGTATGGTTTATGACAATGGAGTTAAATGATTGGAGTTGATGTATTTTTCCAAAGCTGGTGTAATAAAACCAGCATGTATTGTGGGAAATGATATAAAATGTATAAATCTTGTCTTCCAATTCAACTGAAATTGTAAAAAATATCCCTAGAATTTGTTTTCTTGGTTCAATGTACCTGTATTAAAATTGTATACTTATCTTTGTAACACAGATGTTGAAAGTAGAGCAACGGAGGGTGTTATCGACAGGGGGGTATTATCGACCCCCGGTTCTATTCATCTCGTTTTGGATCGATTACCAACCGTTTTTCAGACACTCAGTGTTTTTGATAGGTACACTTACCTTTTTCGGAATCCCTCGGAACCGTTCCATTCAGACAACACCGGTTAAACAAATTTTCTGAACTTTTTTTTCCAAAAAGAAGAATCAATCCTGTTTTTAAACCTCCCTTACGAGCCCCGATTTTTTTTTTCTGAAATATTTGTCACATAATGGTGTAATCCAACTTCACCCATGAAGCGTCTGCAACGTTTGTCAGCGTATTATCTACATCCGGGGTATTGTTAAGGTCGGAAATAGGGTTGTCGATAACTGCCGCAATTTGAGGATCGGAGGTAGTTATCGACAGTATGTAAAAAAAACACCAATTAATTTTTGTTTTATCCATTTAAAGCATATTTTTATGAATGACTTGTAATTCAAAGTTGCCTGTATGATTTCAATATATATATATCGTGAATTGTGACAGGTGAGAACATGTGCCCGACAACAATAGTATGCTAAAGTCTATCCAGTAAACAGACATAACTTTACAAGCATAACTATATATCTAAAATACTAAAAAATCCAAATTTCTCAATAAAATCCATGTAGATAAGTCTTGTAAATATGCTCAATATAAACTGCAATTACAAATTATGAAAAATAATAATATTTGAAGACACTGCAGTCATATATAGACAGAATATAATATATATTGAAAAGTGATCAATTACATAGATCAAATGTTGATGAAAATTGTTTTGTTAGGCAGGAGGTATATAACTAATTATCTTGTGAACATTAAGAACCTAAAAACATTTCCACAATGATTATTTCAAGAAGATTCAATTATGTTTTCTTGAATTAAATTTCTGATCTCTATCACTGTAGGATAAATGCATCATAATTCAAAATTTTTGGGCTGTTGGAATGCATCACTGGAGATCAAAAGAATATGAAATTTGGGTGGGACACCATATTGAAAGGGAACCAGAAAATGTGTATAATCAAAATGCTGTGACGGTGACTGTTTGCGCATGCGTGCAGAAAAGGGAGCGTGTTTGTTTACATTTATGACTTAACATATCACTTGCCATGTTTATACCTTTTTTAAGCAATTGGACACACGTCAGAACAAATGAATGTATTATGAGAGATTAATAATAGAAATAATTAACATTTTAATTTAGCTGTCGATAGCTACCTCCACCTGTCGATAACTACCCCTGTCATTAATGCCACCAAAACAATGATTTCCCGCGATTCGTCACATGTACGCTTATTGCAGATGATGAAATAGAGTACGTTTCCCGACATCTTCGAAATGCCATCATAAAATAACTTACGCAAAACGGTAAACTTGAAAAACAAGTTTGAAGCTTAGACTGTCGATAACCGCCTCCATTGCTCTACTACTGTTTAATTTTGATAATGTACTGGTATTTATCACGGATTTTATCTTACATTGATTAACATTGAAACAACAATATACCCCACTTGTAAGGTTTTGAGGTTGTGAATGAAATATTCAACAGAATTTGATAATTCCTTGTTTTACTCTAGTAATTCTAATTGTTTATGAAAATAATAAATACTTTAATTTTAACTACAAAAACAGCTTGTTAAAATTTTGTATGCTATTCTTGTTAATGGCATGTGTGTTTAGGTGTGTTTTTCAAATAAGATTTATGTAACTTCAGCCTTCAGGATGTCAGAATAGATATTCCCAATTTGATCAGTCTCTTAGTGAAAGATTTGGAGTGAACCATTTTCATAGCATTTTTTTTTTGGCTCAATTATAGAATAAAGTTGTCAATTTATTTTCAACAATGGGAGAGAGGGAGGCATTTCTTCAAAAAGTAGAGACAAAGAGTGTTATTTTTGTTTCCTCCTAGGTATACAAATGTTGTTTGTTTGTAGTTTGTTTGGAGAGAAATCATCAAAAATCTGGGAATTAAGGGAAATATTTTTATATCAATAGATCTGTTTTCTAATCGTTTGTTTTTCGCTGATATGGCTGATTGCAGTATAATCAGATGAAACTGTTAATATCATTCATAACCTCAAAAACTACTACGTCAATGGGAAAGTCATCACCAGCAATCTGTTTATGACAGTGGATGTTGTCGTGATGCGTTGGATATGTATTTATGTCAAATATATCTCGTCAATATTATCAAGACAAAGTTTTTTAAATTTTGGTTATATATCGAATGGTTGCCTTATATTCTTTCTTGTTTTGTTATTAAAAAAAATGTGGCAATGCGTTATTAAAAGAAATAGAATTTTTGACACTACAGTTGTATGAAAAAATATTGAATTATACAAATTTACAAGAAATGTGATGATGACGGTTGTGGAAGCGAATATGATAATAATGTTTTGATGTAAATTTATATGATTTCGAGAGATTTAAAATATTGTTGACCAAACACTAATTATAGATTTCTACTATAAACCGGACACATGTGTTTGTATATTTGTAGTACGCTTGAACCACATTTGTGGAGACTCAAATTATCAAGAACACTGGCTTTCCGGACGCAATTGTAGTTTAAACTGTGAACAAATTTTGGAGTCTACAGATTAATTTGGTTCCCATTTACAGCCAAGCTATGGTAAAGTGTTGCCTACATGACATTTGCTTACTGTCCTGATCCAGGTTGTAACAATCCTCTGGTAATAAAACCTCATTTACGTGTACATCCTTAAGAGTCTAGTGAAGCTAGTTTAAAGGCTAAGAATGATCCTTGTAGTGCCCCATCTGGATAGAATTACATCTTTGTCCACTATCTCAGTCATTACATTGCTCTGTCTGGGGTCTATCTCAGTCATTGCATTGCTCTGTCTGGGGTCTATCTCAGTCATTGCATTGCTCTGTCTGGGGTCTATCTCAGTCATTGCATTGCTCTGTCTGGGGTCTATCTCAGTCATTGCATTGCTCTGTCTGGGGTCTATCTCAGTCATTACACTGCTCTGTCTGGGGGCCTATGGGGCCTATCTCAGTCATTACACTGCTCTGTCTGGGGCCTAGCTATCTGTCTGGGGGTCTATCTCAGTCATTACACTGCTCTGTCTGGGGCCTATCTCAGTCATTACACTGCTCTGTCTGGGGCCTATCTCAGTCATTACACTGCTCTGTCTGGGGCCTATCTCAGTCATTACACTGCTCTGTCTGGGGCCTATCTCAGTCATTACACTGCTCTGTCTGGGGCCTATCTCAGTCATTACACTGCTCTGTCTGGGGCCTATCTCAGTCATTACACTGCTCTGTCTGGGGCCTATCTCAGTCATTACACTGCTCTGTCTGGGGCCTATCTCAGTCATTACACTGCTCTGTCTGGGGCCTATCTCAGTCATTACACTGCTCTGTCTGGGGCCTATCTCAGTCATTACACTGCTCTGTCTGGGGCCTATCTCAGTCATTACACTGCTCTGTCTGGGGCCTATCTCAGTCATTACACTGCTCTGTCTGGGGCCTATCTCAGTCATTACACTGCTCTGTCTGGGGCCTATCTCAGTCATTACACTGCTCTGTCTGGGGCCTATCTCAGTCATTACACTGCTCTGTCTGGGGCCTATCTCAGTCATTACACTGCTCTGTCTGGGGCCTATCTCAGTCATTACACTGCTCTGTCTGGGGCCTATCTCAGTCATTACACTGCTCTGTCTGGGGCCTATCTCAGTCATTACACTGCTCTGTCTGGGGCCTATCTCAGTCATTACACTGCTCTGTCTGGGGCCTATCTCAGTCATTACACTGCTCTGTCTGGGGCCTATCTCAGTCATTACACTGCTCTGTCTGGGGCCTATCTCAGTCATTACACTGCTCTGTCTGGGGCCTATCTCAGTCATTACACTGCTCTGTCTGGGGCCTATCTCAGTCATTACACTGCTCTGTCTGGGGCCTATCTCAGTCATTACACTGCTCTGTCTGGGGCCTATCTCAGTCATTACACTGCTCTGTCTGGGGCCTATCTCAGTCATTACACTGCTCTGTCTGGGGCCTATCTCAGTCATTACACTGCTCTGTCTGGGGCCTATCTCAGTCATTACACTGCTCTGTCTGGGGCCTATCTCAGTCATTACACTGCTCTGTCTGGGGCCTATCTCAGTCATTACACTGCTCTGTCTGGGGCCTATCTCAGTCATTACACTGCTCTGTCTGGGGCCTATCTCAGTCATTACACTGCTCTGTCTGGGGCCTATCTCAGTCATTACACTGCTCTGTCTGGGGCCTATCTCAGTCATTACACTGCTCTGTCTGGGGCCTATCTCAGTCATTACACTGCTCTGTCTGGGGCCTATCTCAGTCATTACACTGCTCTGTCTGGGGCCTATCTCAGTCATTACACTGCTCTGTCTGGGGCCTATCTCAGTCATTACACTGCTCTGTCTGGGGCCTATCTCAGTCATTACACTGCTCTGTCTGGGGCCTATCTCAGTCATTACACTGCTCTGTCTGGGGCCTATCTCAGTCATTACACTGCTCTGTCTGGGGCCTATCTCAGTCATTACACTGCTCTGTCTGGGGCCTATCTCAGTCATTACACTGCTCTGTCTGGGGCCTATCTCAGTCATTACACTGCTCTGTCTGGGGCCTATCTCAGTCATTACACTGCTCTGTCTGGGGCCTATCTCAGTCATTACACTGCTCTGTCTGGGGCCTATCTCAGTCATTACACTGCTCTGTCTGGGGCCTATCTCAGTCATTACACTGCTCTGTCTGGGGCCTATCTCAGTCATTACACTGCTCTGTCTGGGGCCTATCTCAGTCATTACACTGCTCTGTCTGGGGCCTATCTCAGTCATTACACTGCTCTGTCTGGGGCCTATCTCAGTCATTACACTGCTCTGTCTGGGGCCTATCTCAGTCATTACACTGCTCTGTCTGGGGCCTATCTCAGTCATTACACTGCTCTGTCTGGGGCCTATCTCAGTCATTACACTGCTCTGTCTGGGGCCTATCTCAGTCATTACACTGCTCTGTCTGGGGCCTATCTCAGTCATTACACTGCTCTGTCTGGGGTCTATCTCAGTCATTACATTGCTCTGTCTGGGGCCTATCTCAGTCATTACACTGCTCTGTCTGGAGCCTATCTCAGTCATTACACTTCTCCGTCTGGGGCCTATCTCAGTCATTACACTGCTCTGTCTGGGGCCTATCGCAGTCATTACACTGCTCTGTCTGGGGCCTATCTCAGTCAGTTCACTGCTCTGTCTGGGGCCTATCTATCTGTCTGGGGCCTAGCTATCTGTCTGGGGCCTATCTTAGTCATTACATTGCTCTGTCTGGGGCCTATCTCAGACATTACACTGCTCTGTCTGGAGCCTATCTCAGTCATTACACGTCTCCGTCTGGGGCCTATCTCAGTCATTACACTGCTCTGTCTGGAGCCTATCTCAGTCATTACACTTCTCCGATTGCTCTGTCTGGGGTCTATCTCAGTCATTACATTGCTCTGTCTGGGGCCTAGCTATCTGTCTGGGGCCTAGCTATCTGTCTGGGGCCTAGCTATCTATCTGGGGGCCTATCTATCTGTCTGGGGCCTAGCTATCTGTCTGGGGCCTATCTCAGTCACCTACAACTGCCATATGGTGTATGCCACTACCTTTTGGGATGGTAGAGCATCTTGATGATTTACTAAAAATATAAGAGTTATAACTTACCCAGGGTATTTCCAATTGCCAAATTTTATATGCTAGGATGGCAAAGTTTTGAATATTGACATCCATTCTTGTGATACACTGCATACAGAGTTATGACTGGTTCATTATGATGAGTTTGTCTGGAAGTGGGAGGCTGCAGATAGGTTACAATACTTTTCACCTTGTTTTCTCAAATGAAGTGCTTAAAGAAATTCGAGGCAAGCACAGGGAGGCACTTTTTTATCCCCATAATCCAGTTTTCTTTTTCTTCAAGGCTACCACTATTATATTAGACCCCTATATACAATTTCAAGTCCAGCCCCCCAAATATCCAAATCTGCTTTGATTTTGATTGTAGACAGAGCCTGGAGTGAGTCAGTTAAAAGGGCAGCAAGGAAATGTGATGTAGACATATATCATCAGGTGTTCTTGCAGTAATTAAAACATTGGAATGTTGTACTTAGAGGCCTTGTCATTCTCGTGGTCACTATGTGCCTACGCTGGGACGTATCCTTACTAGTATTGGGTAGGTTTAACACTGCGCTGGGACGTATCCTTACTGGTACTTGGGGAGGTTTAACACTGCGCTGGGACGTATCCTTACTTGTACTTGGGTAGGTTTAACACGGCGCTGGGACGTATCCTTACTTGTACTTGGGTAGGTTTAACACGGCGCTGGGACGTATCCTTACTAGTACTTGCGTAGGTTTAACACTGCGCTTGGGCGTATCCTTACTAGTACTTGGGAAGGTTTAACACTGCGCTGGGACGTATCCTTACTGTTACTTGGGTAGGTTTAACACTGCGCTGGGACGTATCCTTACTAGTACTTGGGTAGGTTTAACACTGCGCTTGGGCGTATCCTTACTAGTACTTGGGTAGGTTTAACACTACGCTGGGGCGTATCCTTACTAGTATTGGGTAGGTTTAACACTACGCTGGGACGTATCCTTACTAGAATTGGGTAGGTTTAACACTGCGCTGGGGCGTATCCTTACTGGTACTTGGGTAGGTTTAACACTACGCTGGGACGTATCCTTACTAGAATTGGGTAGGTTTAACACTGCGCTGGGGCGTATCCTTACTGGGACTTGGGTAGGTTTAACACTGCGCCCGGACCTATCCTTACTAGTACTTGGGTAGGTTTAAGACTGCGCTGGGACGTATCCTTACTGGTACTTGGGTAGGTTTAACACCGCGCCCGGACGTATCCTTACTAGTACTTGGGTAGGTTTTACACTGAGCTGGGAAGTATCCTTACTAGTAATAGGGTAGGTTTAACACTGAGCTGGGACGTATCCTTACTAGTACTAGGGTAGGTTTAACACTGAGCTGGGACGTATCCTTACTAGTACTAGGGTAGGTTTAACACTGAGCTGGGACGTATCCTTACTAGTACTTGGGTAGGTTTTACACTGAGCTGGGAAGTATCCTTACTAGTAATAGGGGAGGTTTAACACTGAGCTGGGACGTATCCTTACTAGTACTTGGGGAGGTTTAACACTGCGCTGGGACGTATCCTTACTGGAACTTGGGTAGGTTTAACACTGCGCTGGGACGTATCCTTACTAGTACTTGGGTAGGTTTAACACTGCGCTGGGGCGTATCCTTACTGGTACTTGGGTAGGTTTAACACTGCGCCCGGACGTATCCTTACTAGTACTTGGGTAGGTTTAACACTGAGCTGGGACGTATCCTTACTAGTACTTGGGTAGGTTTAACACTGAGCTGGGAAGTATCCTTACTAGTAATAGGGTAGGTTTAACACTGAGCTGGGACGTATCCTTACTAGTCATAGGGTAGGTTTAACACTGATACTCATTACATACAAGGGATGAATAATATGTTGCCCTGTAGTTTTCTCTTCAGTACTGGCTACCTAACTAGGAAAAACTCCAAAAAATGCCATGTACTTATTTTATATGTATAAAATGGTCAAATTGTAGACTTCAGTTGCTTTGGGTTGGATAAAATATCTACAAATAAAGAAGCTTGTAGGTTTCAATTGTAGAATAGTTACCACAGTAAGAATCATTGATGATTCTGTGTTGTTTTTCTCAAAAATTACTCTTCAAATTTGTCTTTGCATAAAGTTTTCATTTACTAATTGAAAAGTTCAGAAAGTTTCAATTTGTTACATCATATCTCATTTCTCACCATTACTAGTTCAGATAAAATGACTATTCATTAAGGAAATGTTAAAAGGATTATTAAGGTATTCAGAATGGTTTTTTAGCTCTGAGTTTAATTCCATACAAGTATGCAATTTAATCATTGTATCGAATGCTCATACACAGTTGTATAATTGCATGTCCAGTAGTTATTTTATCTTTGAGGCAGGGCTATGAGGATTAAAGTACATTTCCTTTTTCATAAATTTTCAGTTAAGAAATTAAAAATTTTAAATTCCTTAAGAAAATTCATTTATCCTGATATTATTGAATAGTGTCAGCAGATGCTTGACAGTTTTAGATCAATCATTGTTTTAATTGGACCTGTAAGATGTGCAATGCCAGTACTTCAACATTAGTTTACATGATACAGGAATAATAAACATGTATATTTTATGTACCTTTGTGTTTCGACTTATTATTTCCTAGGAAAAGATGTATTGTTGTGGTAGTAAACCCCAGTTAAACACCAGAAGAGGTCGCGATGCTGACAGATGAGTGATCAAACCAGTGTATAACGACACGTAGTTACGACACATAGTTACAGCCGTGTCTATCCAGGTGTAACGACACGTAGTTACACCCGTGTCTATCCAGGTGTAACGACACGTAGTTACAGCTGTGTCTATCCAGGTGTAACGACACGTAGTTACAGCCGTGTCTATCCAGGTGTAACGACACGTAGTTACAGCCAAGTCTATCAAAGTGTAACAACACGTAGTTACAGCCGTGTCTATCCAGGTGTAACGACACATAGTTACAGCCAAGTCTATCAAAGTGTAACGACACGTAGTTACAGCCGTGTCTATCCAGGTGTAACGACAAGTAGTTATACCCCGCAACGATGTTAGGGGGGTATACTGGAATCAACCCCATCACAGTTACTTGTCTGGAAAACTCCTCCTTAACTAACAGGTGGATTTCATTGAAACTTTGCATGAATGATCAGTATCTCATTTTGGATTTCGACCCTTTATGATGGAGTTATGCCCTTTGTTTTACTAAGATAAGCAAAAGCATGGGCCCCAAACCTCTTGGTTATACAGTGTACAGTTCTAACGACACATAGTTACAGCTGTGTCTATCCAGGTATCCAAAAATATGGTGCAAGTCTAAGTGTCATTGTACCATTGGCTTTCCAGCATGAACTCTGTCTTAGATCTGAAGTGATAACAGTACTATATCAGACCCAAAACAGTTGAACCAGCTACTGACATCAATACCAGTACCTTAAGACTAGGACTAAATTCGGTACACTCTGAAAAACAAAGCGTCTTTAATAACTTAATAACTTCAAATGACAACATTTTTACAATTAAAGAAACCTGGTCAGACATCGCACTAGACTTTTACATAATTGCCGAGCTTCTGTATGCTTGATTTGATATTAGCATTTTGGGACAAAAAGACTGTAGAACAAATATTTCAGACTGATATAACTGCCCTGTAGTTAAATTGATTTGTATACTCCCCACAACAAAGTTAAGGGGGTGGGGGTATACTGGAATCAGTCTGTCTGTCTGTCTGTCTGTAGACAAAATACAGTGTATTGTATGTCCTACTTCTCCTAGGTTTATGCATGGATTCTGATGCTTTACCTCAAATGAAATTGTCTCCCCAAACGCTATTATGTTACTTCAATATTTACCAGAGTTATGGCCCTTGGCTTCTGTAGACCGTACATTACGTTACTGAAATTGCTTATTGTCTCAGAAACGGTAAGTATTTTGTATACACATATACATTGGAATGTTGTAAGCATTAATGAAAGCTACTCTACTGACAAACTTCTGAGGTCATGTGGTCAAAGATCACGAATGAATTACGTTACTAAAATGGCTAAATATCTCGGAAACGGTAGGTATTTTGTATACACATAAACAATGAAACATTGCAGGCATATATGCAACCTACTCTACTGACAAACTTCTAAGGTCTTGGGGTCAAAGTTGAGAAATAGGTCTATGTCTTGATCACTTGGGTATTTAGGATACAGGACTGTCTGGACCACTTGGGTAATTATGTAGTGGGTAATTGAGTTACAGGTCTATGTCTTGACCACTTGAGTTAAGATGCAGGGCCCACTTGTATAAAACATCTCCACTCTTGAGATTTCCTCAAGTCTAAGATTTCCCATAGACAATTGATACATTACTTGAGATTTTCCTTAACTTTGAGATGTTTAATACAAGTGGGCCCAGGTCTATGTCTGGACCACTTGGGTAGTTGAGATACAGGTCTTTGTCTTGACCACTTGGGTAGTACAGATACAGGTCTATGTCTGGACCACTTGGGGGTTTGAGATACAGGCCTATGTCTTGACCACTTGGGTAGTTGAGATACAGGTCTATGTATGGACCACTTGGGTAGTACATATACAGGTTTATGTCTGGACCACTTGGGTATTTGAGATACAGGACTGTGTCTTGACCACTTGGGTAGTTCAGATACAGGTCTATGTCTGGACCACTTGGGTGTTTTAGATACAGGTCTATGTCTGGACCACTTGGGTGTTTGAGATACAGGTCTATGTCTGGACCACTTTGGTGGTTGATATACAGGTCTATGTCTGGACCACTTGGGTGTTTTAGATACAGGTCTATGTCTGGACCACTTGGGTCGTTGAGATACAGTTCTATGTCTGGACCACTTGGGTAGTTGAGATACACGTCTATGTCTAGAACACTTAGGTGGTTGAGTTACAGGTCTATGTCTGGACCACTTGGGTGTTTGAGTTACAGGTCAATGTCTGGACCACTTGGGTAGTTGAGATACAGGTCTAAGTCTGGACCACTTGGGTATTTCAGATACAGGTCTATGTCTGGACCACTTTGGTGGTTGAGATACAGGTCTATGTCTGGACCACTTATGTAGTGAAGATACAGGTCTATGTCTGATGTCTGGACCACTTGGGTAGTACAGATACAGGTCTATGTCTTGACCACTTGGGTAGTTGAGATACAGGTCTATGTATGGACCACTTGGGTAGTACATATACAGGTTTATGTCTGGACCACTTGGGTATTTGAGATACAGGTCTATGTCTGGAATAATTGGGTATTTGAGATACAGGTCTATGTCTGGAATAATTGGGTATTTGAGATACAGGTCTATGTCTGGACAACTTAGGTGTTTGAGATACAGGTCTATGTCTAGACCACTTTGGTGGTTGAGATACAGGTCTATGTCTGGACCACTTAGGTAGTGAAGATACAGGCCTATGTCTGATGTCTGGACCACTTGGGTAGTACAGATACAGGTCTATGTCTTGACCACTTGGGTAGTTGAGATACAGGTCTATTTCTGGACCACTTAGGTGTTTGAGATACAGGTCTATGTCCGGACCACTTTGGTGGTTGAGATACAGGTCTATGTCTGGACCACTTAGGTAGTTGAGATACAGGTCTATGTCTGGACCACTTAGGTGTTTGAGATACAGGTCTATGTCCGGACCACTTTGGTGGTTGAGATACAGGTCTATGTCTGGACCACTTAGGTAGTGAAGATACAGGCCTATGTCTGATGTCTGGACCACTTGGGTAGTACAGATACAGGTCTAAGTCTGGACACTTTTGGTATTTGAGATACAGGTCTATGTCTGGACCACTTTGGTGGTTGATATACAGGTCTATGTCTGGACCACTTGGGTGTTTTAGATACAGGTCTATGTCTGGACCACTTGGGTATTTCAGATACAGGTCTATGTCTGGACCACTTTGGTGGTTGAGATACAGGTCTATGTCTGGACCACTTAGGTGTTTGAGATACAGGTCTATGTCCGGACCACTTTGGTGGTTGAGATACAGGTCTATGTCTGGACCACTTATGTAGTGAAGATACAGGTCTATGTCTGATGTCTGGACCACTTGGGTAGTACAGATACAGGTCTAAGTCTGGACCACTTTGGTATTTGAGATACAGGTCTATGTCTGGACCACTTGGGTAGTTGAGATACAGGTCTGTGTCTTGACCACTTGGACAGTTCAGATACAGGTCTATGTCTGGACCACTTGGGTGTTTGAGATACAGGTCTATGTCTGGACCACTTGGGTAGTTGAGATACAGGTCTATGTCTGGACCACTTGGGTAGTTGAGATACAAGTATATGTCTAGACCACTTGGGTAGTACATATACAGGTTTATGTCTGGACCACTTGGGTAGTTGAGATACAGGTCTATGTCTGGACCACTTGGTTATTTGAGATACAGGTATATGTCTGGACCACTTAGGTAGTTGAGATACAGGTCTATGTCTAGCCCACTTGTATAAAACATCTCAAGTCTTGAGATTTCCTCAAGTCTAAGGTTTCCCATAGACAATGCATTGCTTGAGATGTTCCTTAACTTTGAGAACTTTGGTGGTTGAGATACAGGTCTTTGTCTTGACCACTTGGGTAGTACAGATACAGGTCTATGTCTGGACCACTTGGATAGTAACTGTAACATATACCTGTATCTCAAATAACCAAGTGGTCCAGACATAGACCTGTATCTCAACTACCCAAGTGGTCTGGACCACTTGGGTAGTTGAGATACAGGTCTATGTCTGGCCCACTTGTATAAAACATCTCAAGTCTTGAGATTTCCTCAAGTCTAAGATTTCCCATAGACAATGCATTGCTTGAGATGTTCCTTAACTTTGAGATGTTTTAAGATGCTTAAGAAATATATGGAATTTTAGCAATTTGTGCTGAAGGCTTGCAAATATCTGATTTGCCATTCATTTATGATCTTTTTTCTTTTCCAATTAAATAAAATAAATTAAAAGCATTTTTTTTTTTTGCAGTCTTGGAGTAGAAATAAGGTCAACACTTCAGATAAAGAAGCAGTATGACAACGTCAAGCAGAGAGGTACATATTTTCACCAATACATGTACATAACCTAATCTATATTACAGTCTGTACATGTCATTAATTGCTCTATTTGTATGATGTACAGTACTAGTACTGATGCCTCATCATTGATGGAATATGGATTAAAGAAATGATTTTTAGATATAATTGTGTAAATTCAAATATATAATAAACATCTCTCCAGGTTTCTATGATATACTCCAACAAATGGTGAAAAAAATCTGCACTGACTGTACATATATGTTGAAATAAGTATTATGTCCCATCAGTTTCTGTTCAACACCCTTGTCAGTGTTAGGCTAGAATTTCATTTCATGTCAGTGCATTTAAGCTCACTATAGTGTTGGAGAAAAAATATACACCAATTTTATTGAAAACATTTTAGATGCATATGCACATCCAAGTCTTTGAACGCAATATCTTTGAAATAACATAAATAAATGCCATAAATATGTCTTACCATGAAAAGTGGTGAAGTAAAGTAGCACATGTCAAAGCAATATCAAGTTCAAATATTTATATCTATTTAAATTAATAATAAATATTAAATTCAGCGATGCACACATTCACTGCATTTGGGGATATCGGGCTACCACTAGCATCAATAAAAGTTTAAAGCTTTTGTTTTGAGAACTAGGACTTAATGTTATGTCCCCTAGCTGAAACTGTCACTTAATGTGCAAATTGGTATATTTGTTAATGTTATGCATACATTCGATTTGATTTCTACCAGGTAAGTAGCATGCATATGATGGTCCTATGACTTGAGATGATCCTGGTGATCCATACTGTAATTCATATTTTGCTGTGGTGAGCCATACTTGCAACACAAAATTTCTCATCTCAATACAAAATACGATATATATACAACTGTACATCTGGTCAGTTTAAATTTCGAATTCTTTGCCTATACACATATTCTTTGCCTATACACATACACATATTATGTATAAAGAGTAAGGTCAAACATAATAAAAAATCATTCAAATACTACTATATATTTTTTCCTTTTCACAGCAAAAGGCAAGCTTGATGAATTGAAAAGGCCAAAAACAGGTGGTGGTCCAGCACCAGAGCCCTCACCATGTGAACAGATTTTTATTGATAGCCATGATGGCAGGCCCAACATAGTGGGGTTAGGAACCTCTCTGGACACAGAAGGTAAAACAGAAAATGACCGTGATGTTTTGTTTTTAATTTATGAAATGAGAAAATGAAACAAAAGATGATGATGATCCATTACATTGTAGAATTTTTATTATAATTTTCTTTTTCAAAATAAAATTTACATTACACTGAATGTTTACAGAATCCTATACAGTGAAACTGATGTCTAATATCATATCTGTATGGTAATACTTTATCATTAGTTGCAATTTATCTATCACACACATACATGTTCACACATATTTACATACATACATACAAACATACATACATAAAGTATAGTTCTTTATAACCTATCTCTTTCCATCTTTATACAAATTACCCTTTATCATGTCATTCTAGGTGCATACCTTTCATTATTACCACATACACATTATTATTGTCAACACTCCTTTATCAATAAATTTCATTATTAATTTCCAAATTCCTTTTAAAACAGTATATTAACCAATCTTAAAAACCAAAAAGGCATAATTATGCATAGGTGATTTTTTTAGGACTGGTATAATACTAACACATAAAAATGTAAAGATTAGAAACCCATGTTAAAGAAAATTATGATATGGTACATGTAATTTTAATTTGATATAAAAATAACTTTGAGTATTTTGTGGAATGAGGTTATATATCTATTTAAGATGATGTNACTGGTACCACTGACAGGATCACACTAACAGGTACTGTTACTTTATCTGTTTTACTTTTTATGGTTACACTATATGTTAATTGAATATGAATCACATAATGAAGATAGCAGTCGTTGTGTCAAAATCATGTACTATACATGCCTCTCTTATGTGACACTTCATGAAGCTAGGCAATGATGTCAAGTCACCTTTTTTTTTTTCTTTTTTAAGAATGCTATCTTTCATAAACACTTACCATTTGCTTGTTTATCATGTCCATAGGTATTTTAAAATTAGGCCAACTAGTAATCAACAAAACACATCATTTTTCAATAACGTAACTGTATATCATGATGCATACTGTTTCTTAATTTTGAGATGAAAGTGTAAAAATACATTTTATATTTTTCCTTATAGATATCTCAAGAGACCGAATTCAGGCGTTGAGGAAAGAAATTGAGGGACCAAACTATCACCAGAGTATGTAACTGCTCATTATTTCTCCATATAAGAACAATAGGATAGAATGTGATTTATAACAAATTATTCTAATTCTATTCAAATTTGCTGAGGTAGGGATTGTTAATTTCAAAAATATGTAGGAATGCACTGTTTGTCCATTGGTCTTTTCATCTGTATGTCTATCCGTGAATTTTCGCTTCTTTTACATCAACAATTGATTTGAATGAATTCACACAAATGAAGTCCATCATATGAAGATGTTTAAGTAGCAGAATAGTCATTGGACCTTAAAACAGATGCGTTTTCATGTCATTGTAGGAACCTGGAAGCATAGCTTCCAATAAATGGTCTTTGTGAGGGTACCATTTTCTACATCTCATAAGGAAT